CGCGAGCCCACTAAATTGTTCACGAGCCGAGCTCGAGCTTCATTTTAAGGCTCGAATCGAGCTCGAGCTCAAACTCGAGCTTCCTCAAAATTAAACGAGCCGAGCTCGAGCTTGGTCAGGCTCGGGCTCGGCTCGGCTCGTTTACACCCCTAGTTGTATTACCATTTATGTAGCATAAATATTTACATATCTAAGTGTATGTATATTGTTACATGGGTACCACTTGTGTGTGTCATGTTATATCTTATCCACTAATATAGTATCTACTAAATATGATATTTTCGTGGATAACTGTTGTTACAAAGAACACAATAAAAAAAATTCATTCAAAAGGATTTCATATGAAATATTTATGAAAGATTAAAGTTCGGAGAAAAAATTGTTTTTTTGCAGCCTAATTTTCCTCCGTCCATGTCGATTTTCATAGGCAACGTGTATTTTTCTAGATGGTGGCATGCAAAAAAATGTGGCTATTTTTAGCAATTCTTTAATTTGTGCTATAGAAAAACTTTAGGAAAATCTGTTATTATGGTCATTTTTTTTATATTTAATAGATCATGTGTGTTAAATAATTAAAACAATTATTATGTACTTATGATCTGTTTTAATAATTAAAATAATAATCATGTGTTGGTATCATCTTGTATTATGTTTTAGAAATTTATATGTTTTTTTAAGTTAACAATGTTTAAAAAGAAAGTCGTGAAAATATAAATAAAACAAACGCAAAAAAATGAGAAACAGACGGTAGTTTGCGAGTATTTTCTAACTCAAAAACCGAAAATTTCAATTTATAGTAAAAACGAACAATTTGTATCATAGTGGTTAACAAACTATGTCTCATAATTATAAATTATGTTGAAGTCTGAAAAATAAAATATTGTTCCTAAAAAAGATGTGTAAAAAAACAGATATTTGTAGTTTTTCTGAAATTTTTTTGAAATGTGAACAATGTTTTTGAAAAAATAAAATAAAACAATAACTATTTAAATAAAATAATAAAACTATAATTGTTTTACTAAGATTAACGATTAATGCAACAAAAACTTACTGGAATACGAAGTATCGTACTCCATGACTTCGGTGCCCACGCGCCAATCCCCTTGCTGTCCTTAACGCGGCACCAATACACCGATAGCAAAAGCATTTCCGTCGTAAATCTTGGTATTCGCGACAATTTTTTCTTCTGTAAACATTTTTATACTTATATATATATAGAGACAGAGTGTGTTGGTATATAGAATATAGATGGCTGACACTCCTCTACCCTGAACATCAAACGCCGCTTTCAATTTGTGTCTAGCAGAGTAGCAGGCCAGTCGAAAAACCCTCGCTCTATCTTTCCTCATTTACCACCCAAAACTACTTTCATGAACAACTCATCTTCTTCCGGTAGCTTTTCAAATCGCCGGAGTCCGGTGGCCAGCGTGAAACATCCAAGTTATCGTGGTATACGGAGTCGTAGTGGGAAGTGGGTGTCGGAGATCCGGGAACCACGTAAAAGCAAACGTATTTGGCTTGGGACATACCCAACACCGGAGATGGCTGCGGCAGCGTATGATGTAGCTGCTTTATCACTTAAAGGCCGTGATGCAATGATAAATTTCCCAGATTTTTTTGGAACATACGCATTGCCGCTTTTGCCGGAGCCTGCCATGATAAGGAGTGCAGCTGCAGCTGCAGCGGAGCTGATGAAGTCTTCCTTGGATCAGTTTACGTTAGAGTCTGGTGGTGACGGAGATACCTACCTTCCTGCCGAGAATAACTTTTTGGACGACGAAATCCTTTTCGATATGCCAAAGTTGCTGGTAGATATGGCGGAAGGAATGCTGATAAGTCCCCCACGGCAGCACAGTACTGACGATTTGTCTCCAGTGGGCTCCTCTGATTGTCATAATTTGTGGAGCTACTAGGCTTCTTTAAGTTTGTTAAAAAATAACATATAAAAATCGGAAGATTAAGAGAAAGAGGGGATCAAAGGATCAAGAAAAAAATGAAATTAAGAAAGGTGCAAGTTGAAGAACAATGACGTGTGAACAAGTAGTATGCATGCATGATCATCAAAAAGCATGAGAACTTAGTTTTTGAAATTTATCAAAATCAAGGATCTAATATCGTCAAACAATATAATCTTTGAGTTGTAAGTACAGTTGTTTTGAGAAAACTATATATGTGAGAATTTGATACCCAAAAAATCCGAACAAATTATTTCCAAAACCTCACCACGGGACCTAAAGGCTACTACTGTCTAGAAGAATAATAGGTCCAAAACATA